CCTTCGACACGTCGGCGGCGGAGATGCGGAAGGGAGAGCCGGGCCAGCCGGCGGCCCCACCCTCGCGAGCCACTTCCATGGCCTTCCAGCCCCCTCCCCAGCTCCGCGCCAGCGCCGCGCCAGCGTCCAGTCGAGACTTGCTGCCCAGCGCCGGTGATGAGGGTGGCCGAGCTGACCGCGGCGGCTGAAACCCGGCCGCGCCCAGGCGATGGCGGTTGTGAGGAGGTTGGCGTAGGTGAGGTGCCTCCACCCGTTGAACATCACGCGTTGGCTCTTTAGCCTCTAGAGTCCCGTGGTCCGTCGAGAATCCAAAGACATCCAGACTCTGGCTTTTGCCCGATTTGGGGCGCCTGGCGCGCCGTCGCGCTGTGGAGTTCGTTGTCACGTCGATGTGTGTGTGGGGGTCGCCGTGGCGGCAAGACACTGGCCCCCTGCTCGGCTTGTTGGATGCTACTCTTTGGCGGGGTTCAAAGTGCGTTGGCTCGCGGCGTGGGATCTGCGTTCGCTCGGGCAAGCGTCACGAGATCCTCTGCGGCAAAAGGCCAGACGGGTCCTTTGCCAATGCCGCGGCAGCCGTATACCCACCCAAGTTATGTAAAGTGTTGGCCCGATTGTATTACAACGCTCACGTTGCGACAATCGTTGCCTCTGTCCTGAGGCGACTTTGATTTTTGGCGATACCAGCTTGCGATCATGTTTGCAGATCTGGCATGTAGTAAATGTTATATGTCCTTCCTGCGTTCTCCATGGCGTCCTGCGTCACTCGAAGCAGCCCATCCTCACACCCTGACTGCTGGCATAAAGGAGTTGCCATGATCATCATCATCATCATCATCATCACCACCACCACCACCATCATCATCAGCATCATCCTTCTCCTCCTCCGTTTCCTCCTCCTCCTCCTCCTCCTCCTCCTCCTCCTCCTCCTCCTCCTCCTCCTCCTCCTCCTCCTCCTCCTTCCATGCCCCACAGGAAGCTCCGCCGACGGCCCCAGTGGGCGCCGACGTCTTGCGTCCCTCCTACAGCTGTGGCAGATTCCTGTGACGCGGATCGTGCCCCCGAGGGCCGTTCTGCTTGCGGCCCCTGGGCGCCGACGTGCCCCCCCCGCCTAATTCGGCACGTTCCTCACGCAGATCGTGCCCTCGCAGGGAGTTCCGCCTGCGGCCCCTGTGGGCGCCGAAGTGCGGCGCCCCTCGCCCATGTCGGCGCGCCAATCGCGCGGATCGTGTGCCCCCCCTCACAGGGACCTCCACCTGCGGCCCCAGTGGGCGCCGACGCACGGCCCCCCCCCCCCTCCGCCCATTTCGGCACGTCCCCTCACGCAGGTTTCGCCCCGCAGGGAGCCCCACCGCGACTCTGCGCTCAGCACCCCCCCCCCTTGTCCGCACTGCCCCGCGGCGCGCAGCATTTGAAGAGAGAGCCGCGCACTGCGTCACACGCAGCTTCATAGGGTTGGGTCCTTCGCTGGGTTTTTGTGTAGGAGAGGGGTCGAGGCTATTCGCTGACTTTCGGCTGTTTCTGGAAGTCTCCGAGGCCTGTTCCTGGGCCCCTTTCCGCCAGCGTAACGGAACGAGGAGGAGGAGGAGGAGGAGGAGGGGGAGGAGGCGGGGAGGAGCGGGGAGGAGACATTCGGAGATGTTCGGAGGATTTCGGAGGTCTCTTGAGGTTACCATAGGAGAGAGGGATGATGAAGTGAATGAGGGGGCAGCTAGGGAGGAGGGGAGGGTGCCCGGACCGTGTCGAGGGACCAGTTTTGGGCGGGGTCTTGCAGGGGGCATGGAGGAGAGGGGACACATGTTCGAGGAGTCGGATGGGGAGAATAGGAGGAGGAGGAGGAGGAGGAGGAGGACGGCGACGACGAAGGAAGTTCAGGGGACGTATCGTGGAGGAGCGCAGAGCGCAGAGGAGGAGGAGGAGGACGACGAGGAGGAGGAAGGAAGAGCAGGGCTGAGGGGTGAGGGAGGAGCATGAGACAATCAGGGCAGAAGAGGGAGGGGAAAGGAGGAAAGATGGAGGAGGGACGCTGGAGCTCAGAAGAATATGGAGGACGAAGGGTGCACGAGGGAGGAGATGGATGAGAGGAGGAGCGATCTTGAGCAGGAGCGCAGGATATGGCATGAGATGTGGATGGTGGAGGAGGGGGGACAGAGAGGGAACAGGAGGGAGAAGGGAGGAGAGAGGGAGAGTCCTCCTCCTCCTCCTCCTCCTCCTCCTCCTCCTCCTCCTCCTCCTCCTGCTCCTCCTCCCCTCCTCCTCCCCTCCTCCTCCAGGGAGGGAGGGTGGCCTACTCCCAGGCACTTCAGATCGACTTCCGCGACGCCTGGACCCTGTTCAAGCTCATCGACCACTCAAACGACGGAGCCCCGAGAGCCTCGCCACGACCACCACTAAGTCTGGCACGTCCCTCTACAGGAGGAATATTCAAAAATAGCCCCAAAAGAATAGCCTGGGGACGATGTTTTGACTATTTCTGACCATTGTTAAATCCTTTTTGACTATTTTTTATGTGTCGTCCAAAATCCGCCTGTAGGGGGGCACGCCCGACCTAAGACTACCATTGTCTTCCCCTTCTCCTTCTGCTCCTTCCGTCACCCGTTCCTCCACCCTCCCTCAGCGTACCCCACCCTTCGTATCTTCCTCCTATTCCTGCCTCCACCCTGGCTCCTTCGTTCTTTCCTTCCCTCCTTCCTTCCTACGTTCCCCTTCCAAGGCTCGCTCTGCGTGGCGTGCGTGGCATTTCCTCGTCACCAGGTGGTGTTGCGCATGGCAATTGCCCAAATGTGATAAGACGATTGAAAGCAAAGCATCCCCCCTGACCTGGGGGGGGGGGGGGCATTTCGCATTGTATAGGGTATACAAGTAGAATTAGGAAAGAGCCCGTTTGTTTGATCGTGCCCCCCCCTCACCTTCGCCACGTCCTAGCAGGAGCAGGCCCGTATTACAGGTGCAGGTGCGGGAGGAAGCAGAAGGAGGGAGGCTGGGGTTGCCCAGATTCCAGATCGAATGGTCAGCCCTCGGGCCGTCGTTGTCGTCGTCGTCGTCGTCGTCGTCGTCGTCGTCCGTCGTCGTTCCCCCCCCGGGTCCGCAGTTCGCCGCCGCCGTTGTCGTCGCCGTCGTCGTCGTCGTCTCCGTCGTCCTCCCCTCCCCACCCGGACTGCACGACGCCTACGCAGCACCTCCTTTGTTCCTATGCCATCCGCTGTTTGCCGTTGTCGTCGATGTCGTCGTCCGTCGTCGTCCCCCGTGGACTGCAAGACGCCCACGCAGCACCCCCCCACCCCATCCGCAGTTTGCCGTCGTCGTCGTCGTCCGTGGTCGTCGCCCCCTGGGACTACAAGACGCCCACGCAGCACCCCCTCTCATATGCCGCCATCTGCAGTTCGCTGTCGCCGTCGTCGTGGTCGTCGTCGTCGTCGTGGCCCCCCGGGACTGCAAGACGCCTGCGCAGCATCCCCCTTCATCGGGCATCCGCAATTCGTCGCGTCGTCGTCGTGGTCGTCGTCCGCCCCCTCGTCCTCGTCGCGAGCCGCAGCCGCCACGCACCTCTCACCGAATTGTCAGCCCTCGGGCCTCCGCTGGCCTCCCAGACGGCCCGGGGGGGCCAACCCGAATTGTCCGCCCTCCGGGGGCCAAGCTCCTTGGCCCGTTCTTCTTGCGGAGGCCGCGTACCTGCCGAGACTAGTTTTCATAATTGCAAACAGCCAGAGTGCAGGAGTGGAGTGGCTGCAGCCCGCTTCGAGGCAGGCAGCTTGCAGTGGCCTTCAGACGGCCCCCGTTCCCGTTCGTGGCGCGACCGCGCCTCGCAAGTGCCGAGAAAAAAACAAAACAAGCCAAAAAAGAAAAAACGAGGATGGGAGCCAGGCCATATTGCGGTAACGTGTGCTTATTTTGCCAACTGGACAAGAATGAAGAATCGGTCGTTCTGTCATGGGCATTTCAAGGTTGTGGGTCCTTGCGGACAGTTGCCTGCTTGGGACGCTCAGAAATGTAACGACTTGTGGACCGATTCGGTTAAACGGGCCCGACAACGTTGTTCATGATAACCGCATTATGCACATCACATCCCCGACATGAATGAACACTTGCGGAGGGCAAGTATTTTTCCAGAAGCACCCCGAATTACATTCGTTGCGACGCACGACAACCATCGAGAACGGCGACAAAAGTTATTGGTGAGGAGCATGTTCAGCACATGCATGTGTATCCTGTCACTGTGAGCAAAGATGATCGACGACCGAAAGTGCACAAGAAATGTTTTATGATTGACGCATGCCTCTTTGGATCTGGAAAACATAAAACACATGGATGTAGACAGCAAGGTGATCAATGTTGGGAATATGCAATCCAGCCGTCAAGGGGAAAAAACAGTCCAGAACGTGAGTGTGGAGTTAACAATACCAATGCCTTAAGCGCGGTGGTTTCCGCCTTGGTCCAGACTGGCAGCATGAATAACCGAGTCGATTCCGCGAGATAAACGAGGATGAAACCATTCGAAGTGTTGAAAATATACTTCCAGCGGTGAAAAGGAAACGCCCGTGCAGCAGATGTCATGAAAGAGCACGGATTAGACAGCGTGAAACGTTTGGTTCAGATACAAGACATGTTGTTGTCAGATTTGCATTACGATTTCATGAACGTTCGCCGTTCCTTAATATAGGTGTCCGATATATGTGTTTTGAGATTCACAAGGAAAGGATGATCGCCCGATGTCTGCTACATTTCTACTTCATGACATACCAATCGTTCGTAGTTCCGAATTCGATGGCTCCAATATAGCACGACTCTGTTTGAACACTCCGCCTAAAGCGTGCAACATCACGCTTGATGAGTACAAGTTCGGTGTCCGCCGAAGGTATGGCTTCGTTGTGCGATGCTTCGTCGTCGCCAGGCACCCATGATTGATGTCGTTGTCACATTAAGTGAGGCCGGGCCCGTACGTTGTGAGGTTAGTCCGCCAAATATGATAAACGGAGCAGAACCTTGTGTTAACCTACGCGTTTGTTAGGGTTTGCCTTTGACCCTAGCGTTCCCCATAGTGGCCTGCCCGATTCTTCCCTCTCTCCTTATTTTTCTTCCTGCAGCCATCTGGCAGGGGCTCTGCCCCGGAACTCGGCCACGACGGCGTTCCTGCCATGCCTATGCTTGCGGGTCTCCTCTCCTGAGGAGAGATGTGGGCACCCGCCCGGGCGCGCCACTGGTTCGGCCCCCGGGAGGTTGCGTCGGGGGCCGTGGGCCCCATGGGAACCAAGACCCTGTGCCCCCCTTTGGCCATGACTGGGCCCCCGCCCCCAGGTGGAGGGTGCGCGGACGGCCTACGTGACCCGATGGACGCAGCGGCCGGCGCTCATGCGCGCGCGAGGCCACAGCCTCTACCTGACGGGGGGCAGGGAAAGGCTGGCCAGAAGGAGGACGAGGACACCCTGCTCGACGGGGCGGTCCAACTAGCGCACGTCCAGCAGCGCGCGGAGAGGACAAGGGGGAAGCTGATGGCCGTCCTCCACTACCACGTGGCAGTGGGATACCCAGACCCGCTGGAGCTGGCGCCCCGTCTCTGGCTAGCCCTGGAGGGGCTGCGTCGGTCGGGGGGAAAGCAAAACCGCAAGTACCCAGTCACCACCGAGATGTTGGCCCAGCTTCAAAGGAAACTGAACACGGGCAAATTGGGAGACGTAGCCCGGCGGGCTGCCATCTCGGTCGAACCCCACGGGCGCAGGGGGCGATCTGCTCAACCTTTGAAAGAGCGGACGAGGCAGCCATCTACACCAAGAGAAGCAAAACGGACCAGAAAAATCCCGGGCGCTGCCGAAACCATTGCGCCATGGGGAACGCCCCCTGCCCGGCGAAAGCCCTTGCAGAATTGGAGCGGCTGGCCACCCAAGTGGACATCAGAGGGCGACCTCCCGCTGTTCCGAGACGAGGAAAGGAACCCGATCGGAGGGCAGGAGGAGACCAAGGGCCTCTTGGATCAGGCGGCGACGGCGGTTGGCATCCACCCCTCGCACATCGGGAGCCACTCCCTCTGGATAGGGGGGCCACGGCGATGCAACACGCCATCCCGGACTGGAGGGGCAAAAGGTTTGGGGGTTGAAGACCAGCGCCGTCCACGTCCACCTCTGGGAGACGCACAAGCCTCAGAAGGGGCTTGCTGAGGCGATTTCGGCTTGGAACTACCAGCTCACATTTGGGGGCGCCAACCGGATTGGATCTGGGGAGCAAGGGAAAGAGAGCACGAACAGGAAGGCCAATTTTTACCAGAACCCGCGGGGGGAGGCGGCCCCACAAGACCCGACCGGACTAGACCGGATTCCTAGGGTTCTTCGGGTTCGCCGCCCCCGGTGCCTCCTATTGTTACGTTGCCCGTTTCCTGAAGGTTCCTCGGGTTCCCCGGGTTCCTCGGGCTCCCCGCCCCCGCTTGTTTCCCAGAGGTTCCCCGGGTTCCTCGGGTTCCCCGCCCCCGGTGCCTCCTATTGTTACGTTGCCCGTTTCCTGGGTTCCTCGGGTTCTTCGGGTTTCCGGGGATCTTCGGGTTCACGATGATCGTTCTTCGGAGGTTCCCCGGCCCCCCGAGTTCTTCAGGTTCACCATGCAGAGCAATGCCAGCCAATGCCAAGCAATTCCAACCCATGCAAACAAATGCCAAGCAATGCCAACCCATGCAAAGCAATGCCAAGCAACGCCGAACAATGCAAACCCATGCCAAGCAACCCGCGCAGAGCAAAGCGACGCGCCCCTGCAATAGGCTTCCCCCGAATCAGGGCCACACCAGGTTCATTTGTTGAAGACCAGGGCGCCGAATAGCGGCGCTTCGTTGGCTCTTCTTTTGGAAAGTCCGGCCTGCGGCAGGCTGCTGAATGGGAGGGCGCTTCCTGGCGGTTGGCCAGCGAGGTCCCCACCCGCGCAGTGTGCAATCAGGATTGCCTGCCAAGTGGGCGAGTTAGACGCCAGGTGATGCCCTTCCAGGGTTCTTTTCGATTCCTCCCTCTCGATTCCATTCGATTTCGGTGGCTTCCGATTCCGATTCGATTCGATTTCGGATTCCGATATGGGTTCCGATTTCTGTTTTGGAGGCACATTCGCCCACCGATTTCCGCAGATTCGATGTTCCCCGACTCGGCTGCCGATTTGTGCCGATCCGATTCATTTCGATCGCCGATCCGACTTATCGATTCAATTCTGGGCTCTTTTGCCCCTCTTGCCGACTGGCCACGGGCCTTCCCCGTGCTATATTTTCAGCGTGAACGAGTACCCTGCAGGCCGCAGGCTATTTGAAGCAGCGCGGGGGGACCCCCCTGGCATTTGGCCTTGGGTCCCCTGCCGCGTTTTTCCCTACCTAGGCTCTGCCTAGAAGGGTTCTTACTCGCTTGGCTTAAAGGGGCCGAGCAGTGCAAACCGCCCCGGGCGGTTCCCCCAGTCCCCTGGGAGCCAAGCGAAAGCAACAGCAAAGGTAAACCAACGCGCGGTTCCCCCAGTTGCGCTCCCTGGGCGCCAAGCAAAAGCAACAGCAAAGGCAAAAGTGAAGGCAAAAGCGAAGGCAAAGCAAAAGCATAGCATAGCATAGCATAGCGCAGCATAGCATAGCGCAGCATAGCATAGCCTAGCCTAGCCCAGCATAACATTGCGCAGCATAGCATAGCATAGCATAGCATAGCATAGCGCAGCACAGCATCCACGATTGCTGCTGCTACATATCTATATATATATATATGTGTGTACTTATATGTGTGTGTGCGTGTGTGCGCACGTATGTTCCATGCATGTTGTCCGTCTGTGGGCCACCTTGAGCCCTTAGTGGGGCAGCTTGAGCCCTTAGGATTCACGAAGAGTTTCGCACATAGCACCGGCCGGGAGCCATGAAACCCGACGTATTATCGCATGTCCTAAATGTATTTCTAGATATGCAAATATAACACCCATGTGGAATGCTGCATGTGTGTGCGTGTGTGTGTGCATGTATGTGTCCAGCACCGCGTCGCAATGCTTTTCATCCCCGTTGCCGTTCAGCCTCAATTCCGTGACTCGCAGAGCCACGCAAGAGCGCGCAGCAGTGGATTGCGTCACGCGGGCAGTCTTACGGACTTCGAGTGGCGAGGCACGCGACCCAGCAAGCAGTGTTGAGCGTCCTGCAGAGAACAGTCTTCCAAGATGTGGATGTAGATGTAGAGGTAGGTGTAGGTGTAGGTGTAGATGTAGATGTAGATGTGAGTCTCGTTGTTGATGTGGATGCAGGTGTAGATGCAGATGTAGCTGTAGGTGTAGATGTAGATCTAGATGTAGATGTAGGTGTCGATGTAGATGTAGGTGTAGATATAGATGTAAATGTAAAGAACTCCCCAGTGCCCCGCCCTCATCTCCGCGCCAGCTTGCTTTTGTTGTTGTCTCGGCGATGTGCTGCCTGCTTCTGCTGCTGCTTCACTTACGGCGTGGCGTCGGCGGCTCTTGCACTACTACTACTACTACTACTACTACTACTACTACTACTACTACTACTACTACTACTACTACTACTACTACTACTACTACTACTACTACTACTACTACTACTACTACTACTACTACTACTACTACTACTACTACTACTACTACTACTACTACTACTACTACTACTACTACTACTACTACTACTACTACTACTACTACTACTACTACTACTACTACTACTACTACTACTACTACTACTACTACTACTACTACTACTACTACTACTACTACTACTACTACTACTACTACTACTACTACTACTACTACTACTACTACTACTACTACTACTACTACTACTACTACTACTGCTACTACTACTACTACTACTACTACTACTACTACTACTACTACCACTACCACTACCACTACCACTACTACTACTACTGCGACTACCGACCTACCTACCTACCTACCTACCGACCGTCCGACCGACCGACCGACCTACCTACCTACTTACCTACCTACCTACTACTACTACTATTACTACTACTACGATTACTACTACTACGACTATTACTACTACTACTACTACTACTACTACTACTACTACTACTACTACTACTACTACTACTACTACGACTACTACTACTACTACTACTACGACTATTAATACTACTACGACCGCCACTGCTACAACGACGGTGAGGAGAAGGAGGAGGACGGCGTTTACCGCTCCTACTAATGTTGCTTTCCTAGAGGCTCCAACTCCTGGGTAGGGTCGCACTGGGATAATTAGTAGGAGGCCCGTTGCGCGATTGGTTTTGGTTTTTTTTTCGGGCGGGCCGCTGGCCGCTGAGCGGCTGAACTCCACTCGGCGCCATACTTAATGAAGAAAACCCTTGTCGTCTCTCCTTGTCAACTGCGGGGCCCCTCACAGGGGAATCAAATTGTTTTATATTTCTCTGTTCGCACAAGCCACGGCATTCCGAAAAGGCGCGGGCCGTGAAAACTCCAGAGTCGAGTGGTTGCACAACGATAAGCAAGTTCCACTCCCATGTCCTCGGCGGCGCCGCGATATTTTCAGTCGTGCATTCTACTTGCGTCGGTAAGGTTTTGACGCCGTCTCAGCATGGCGATCTCGTGTTTTTTGTATGCGGTAGTTTCGACGGGCCCGGAAATGCGCGTCGTTAAACCACCTCTTGAAAATAGGAATGTTAAAGCACCGCGCGCGAATTTATTATTTTGTAGCGGGGTGCACGTTCACAACTCGAACAGGCTCCTTGTTCGATGAAATCATATTGTGGATTTCGGCGGTGCACCGTTTTGAATTCACAGTTGCGGCGCACATGTCCGCAGGGAGTAACGGCCAGACCTAACAAGTCGTGGAACGGTATTTCGGAAGCCGATTCTCTTACGAACCGATGGAATATGTTCGTGTGATTGCACAGGACACGATTCGTACAATGCCGATGCGTTTAGAGTGGATGTCGTACAATGCCGATGCTTTTAGAGTGGATGTCCAAGCTTTGTTATATATGACAAAAAACAACAGTACGAGTGGTAAGAATAATAATGATGTTATTAGTATTTGTAGTAATAACAATGATAACACAAAACAATAATATTCTGAATAATGTACATGGCAGTCTTAACAATAGTAATAGTAACAACAACCTTAACAGTAGCAGTAATTATATTATTAATACTAAGAATACGAATCATGATAACAAACGCAATAATCGCAAGAATACGATTTCGAATACCCATCAAGGAAAAAAAAAAAAAAAAAAAAAAAAAAAAAAAAAAAAAAAAAAAAAAAAAAACGACCCGGTGCCCTAGCCCAGGGGCCCCCATTTTTTTTCAAAATCCCCCCACCCCGCGCACCCGGCTTTAGCCCTTGGGGCTGGCGGGTCCTCTTCAGGAGCCCTTTTCAGGCGAGAAGCACCCAAGAGCCAAGAGGCATCTTCCCCGGGCCGCGGAATTTGGCGCGGGCATGTTTGCAGGAAGCGCAAAGCCAAGAATAACGAATATGAGAACGAGTGGCCAAAAGAGATTGGGTCTCCAGGAAAGACGGGGCCAACAATCCAGGAAAACGTTGCGTGGGAGCAAGTCTGAATTTGAACGAACGTTACACCGGGAACCCGCCCCCTCTATCAAACCGCGCACAACGTTTTCGTTCAATTAGGGTCTCCACGGGCAGAGGCCAAGAAAAATAATGATAATTGAAGTACGTAATACATCAAGTAGTTCAGAACTCTATGTATATATAATATACATATGTGTTTGCATATAGATGTATATACAAACATATATATATATGTACATATATTCGTATATATACACACATGTATATATATGTCGATGTATATATGTGTACATATGCATGCATATATATATATATATATATATATATATATATACATGTATATATATACATTTACATATATACATCTATAGATATATATATATATATAGAGAGAGAGAGAGAGAGAGAGATCCTCTGACCGTCGCCGTACTCCAGGGGGCCCGATAGGCTTGCAGGGTGCTTTTCGGAAGCAGTTGTGACCCCTCTTGGGGGCTGTTCTGGCGGCTCTGAAGGCCTTTTTGGAGCCTCTTAGGGGGCTGGGGCCTGTTGGGGGCCCCTTTGAGCCGTCTTGGGCGCCTCTTGGGCCGTCTTGGGGCTCTTGGGCCGTCGCGGGGGTCTCTTGAGTGCTTCCTGGACCGCCTTGGGGCGTTCTGGGGGGCGTTTGGAGCGTCGCGAAGGCGAGAAGTTGCTGATGCTGAAAATGTAAAGGTTACGACGGGAGTTTGGCGATGTTGGTTTCTTGGGGCTCCCTTGGGAGGCCTCTTGGGGTGCCTTTGGGCGAAACGGGGAGAACGTGTATATATATATACATACATACATACATATACCTATACATAGTTATAAACGTAGATCACTAGACAGGCAGAACGTCCCCCGTCACAGCTTTACCTCTGCACCTCCATTATCAGTTTCACTCTCGCAGGGTGTGGCAGGCGTGGCAGTGTTCCCCTATACATCCTACGCTCGGAGGGCTTTGCAGGAGCCTCGCAGGAGCAGAGGGCACTTCCTCGCGTGCCTTGGAGGCGTGTTCGTGAGATACCCGTACAAAAATAGACATGCAAGTCGACGGCTAATTGCTTGGTCGCTACAGCGCTTTTGCTTCTCATGTGTTGCTTGGCAGTTGTCCCCCCCGCCCATTTTCACGAACAGCACCAAATGGACAGGCTGACAATATGCAATATGTCTTCTGGACCAGACTGCTTTCAGACCCCAGAATGTTCGTTGAGGACCGCACTGGGGGGCGCCCAACTCAAACATAGAAGAAGAGGACCAGGAAGGATTGGGAGGAGGAATGAGGGGAAGGAAGGAGGGGGAGGATGAGAAAGCGGAGGAGGAAGGAAAGGTGAGATGAGGAGGGGGAACAGTGGCATATGGAGCGGCGGGGGGAGGAGGACTAGGACGAAGAGAAGGAGGAGGATGGTAGATGCTGCCAGCCATCGAAAGGGTTGTCTCCCAGGAGCCATCAAGTTGGACGAC